ATTCCAACGTTCGCGGTGCCACGCCATTTCGCGAGACCAGGGCGGAATCGCGGACCGAATTACACTCTTAATCATGTATTTCGTAGTATCTCTACATTCGAGCTACTAATTTCTAAATAAATACGACATTTCGAGTTAGATAGGAGGTATTTTTCTCAGTATATTAGCACGAGGCACAGGATGCACGAGATAATAATAAATATAGTGATTCGATTGAAGGTACCGTCCCTGGAAATTCATGGTACTTTGGTTCAAGAGATGCAAAGCTTCATATTTCTAATATATACCGAGTATCTCACATAGAACAATCTCTGAAACTTTCATGGAGGTATGATACGGATTGAGGAGAAATACCTATATCTTTTTGCGACATTCGCAATAATTACCAAAATACTAATTAAAGAAAAACGCTTCTTTAAAGTTTTAATATCAACGTATATCGCCAATTTTTTTGTAATACATGCTTAAGAGTGTGCTCGATCGAGGCGAGAAGCGAAAACCAATGTTCGCGGGATGCCCGTTAATTGACTGCTCGCGCGTCTCGGCATAGAAAATAATAACTTTCAAACTGCAAATATGAGGTTTATCACGAGGCAACGATAATTTTACTCGGGAATTAGCGCGCTGGAAAATGGCAAATTAACAATGTGTGGAATTTCATTACATAAGAGCTCGCGTGCGATTCAATGTAACGACAAAGAAAATTTAATATGCGTGACGGGAGAAAAAAATCTCGGCGGGAAATTTTTCGGAGGAAACTTAGGCGCGTAACTTCGTGCTTTATACGATGGACACACACCCGACGCTCTTTATTTGCGCGCGTTAAACACGGGATGTTTGACAGTAGCTGGGAAAAACGCTCGTGTAAATTTGGTTGCGCCGAACACAAAATTACTCTACCAAATTACTCTATCAAACGCTCGCGTAAAATTTTGAGTTATTAATCGGAAAATATTAGTGACTCTAATCGCGTGCTGTGCAACGTAAGCCGTGACGATAAGTACGATTTTTGTCGTATTTGTACATTGGATCAAACTAAACAAAAAAAGTTCCCCATCATTTTGCAAATAACCACGTACATTTTCGAACTATTATTCAAATTGGCGGACGAGTGATGGCGCGCCATCATTCGCTACTCTTTCTCAGCTTGATAACTTAAGAAGACTGAAAGATCAAATTGCCTGAAAATCATGCTTGTTTTTTCACAATTTTTTATGAAAAACTGAATGTATATGCAAAAGTGTTATTTTAACGTGTACTTATACAACATATAAAGAGAAGAAAAATATAACTTTGATGATTAAATACTTAATATAAGTGTATGGTACATGCAATTAAAATATATTTCGTTTTTCTTGTCAAGGTAGTCATTTTGCAGTAATATCTTGACTCTCGGTGATTCAATTAAGCTGAATTTTAGTAGAAAATTTCCGTAAGTTTGTCGTTATCGTTTGAACTGACAAACTCGTGAAAATATTTAATTTTAAAATATTGATTTTTTTACTATAAAATAACTGAAAATTTAATAATATTTCATTAAAATATTTGCAATTTTGTTAACTTTTACTCAATTTCTATTATAGTGGTTCACACGATAACGACAAATACGGAAATTTGCGTACGGAAATTTTTTACCTAAAATTCAGCTTAATTGAACCACCGAGAGTCAAGATATTACTGCAAAATGACGACCTTGAAAAGAAAAACGAAATATATTTTAACTGCATGTACTATACACTTATATTGAGTATTTGATCATCAAAATTATATTTTTCTACTCTTTATATGTTGAATAAATACACATCAAAATAACACTTTCGCATATTCTTTCAGTTTGTCATAAAAAATTGTGAAAGAACAAATACGATTTTCAGGCAATTTGACTGTCCAATCCCCTTAAAATTTCATATAATGATTGTTTGGCAGAAGAATTTTAGGTTTGGCCTAATCCGCCTTGATCAAAAATGTCTATTTTTTGTATTCAATTTTATTTCTTATGCATTTTTGTTGCACTTGTTGATAATAGAAATGAGTACATTAAAAACCTATGAACTGCTCGTGAAGCTCAAAGTGAAAAAATATGACCTAAATATTTTTTGTACTTTTACATTTGTGCCAAATTAGAAAGAAATCGGATTGTACCTTTTAGGTAGGTTTACTTATGAGTCTGTCCCGCTCCCGATGAGATTGCAATCATCTCTCTATTGTTATTGATTCATTTTTGCTATATGTTGAAACATCTATCGATGTTTTCTTTTTCTTAGATGTTTTTTCTCTCAATCTACCAGAGAAACATAGCAAAATTGAGAAGAATTTATATGAATAGACAAACTCTATAATATTCTCTCTCTCTCTCTCTCTCTCTCTGTGCGTAGTTGAAAATCATGATTATTTTTTTGGACAATTGTATCCTCCCACTATCATATTAATATTAAAAAGTAATATTAGTATTTAATAGCACTAAGACAACCGTGCTTGCTCCTTATGTGCCTTTTCAAATCTTACTGTTAGTTAATTATTTTTTTAGATTATCATAATTTTAACTTTAGATTATCGTGATTGGTTTGATTATTACCGGAGTTCGCATTTTGTCCCGCGTATTTGGACCGCGCCCTGCTGAGATCGCTTGCCTCCTGCGCGCATTTCAAATAGGATAACACCGCATCGCCATGGCGCGTTTCACGCGTAATTCCCTTGAAAAATTAAACCGGAACATCCCGTGTGTGCATATTATATGCGGTGTATATGCATCTGACACGCGAGATGCGCGCCGCTGAGAACGCGTTTACGGGCGGCTGTGACAATCAGGACACGCCACGACCGACCGACCGACCGACCGACCGACTAGTTGACATTTTCGCATTTTCCAGGTCCTCGTGTCGTAATTAATTATCGATTCGTCCGCACCCACTCCATCCACCCAGCGCGCAACACACGAAAATAGACAGCCGCGCATTCGAGCGCAATTTTGCGCACCGGCACACGACGCGAGATATGTATATGTCTCTGCGTGTGTGTATGTGTTGCGTAGAGAAGCGGCCGGTGAGTTCTGTCTTTGGCAGAAATTAGAAATCGACGCGCAATCCTCGCGTCAACGCGGCCGGCGGCTATTCGATTCAAGTTGTACTCGAGTCGCAGCATTGCCTCTCATTTTTAAAGATAGGACGCGAATTAATATGCATCCGGTATCCCGTTAATTATATCGTTAATAATTACTTCCCCCGAGAGTGATTGAATAATAAACTATTTTATATAATAATAGTAATAATAAATATAACAATAATGAGGGCTGAACTCTTATAAGCCTTTTTATTAACTTCTTGAATAATAAACATCAAGCAGACATAAAATGAAAAGTGGGGGACCTCTCTTAAAAAATGAAATGCATTTATATAAACTATGGTACATTAAAACGAAGGACATGTTCGTTGATGAGCGAACTATTCTGAGAGTTGAACGAGATTTCAAGAAATTCCAGTGTGGAATATAAACTTCGTTTATATTCGCGCATTAACTCGCCGACGATCTCGCGATTTTTACGTCTCTTGCGGAAAAGCAGAACTCTCTCTCTCTCTCTCTCTTTCTTTATCACTGGTGCATTTAAATGCGCGTAAACCGCGCACAGTATACTTCACCGTCTCGCTTGCGGCGGAGAGCGCGAATCACGCGCATACGATTTTACGAGGGCTGTAAAAAATCGAAAGATACGTCTTACGATTGGTACTCAACCATCTGCCGAGATCGCATTTGTGCAGTATATACTCGCCATCTCGATACCGTGTATACCCCCTATACTCACATCTCACATTCCACAGTTTACGCGCCGTCCCCCTCGCGATCCCGTGACCGTATCGATTGATCGGTCGATCAATCGACGCGATTACGAGACGCAAAAATGCCCGCGTTCGTCGCTTGATAAACGCGTTTAATCCCAAACCAGATTAACACGCATGCACGCGCCTTCGATTTCCGGGGCGCGCGTGTGACTCGGTTTTTGCCGAGGCCGCGCGCGCGCGCACGGCTAAATCCGCGGGCGATGCTCGCGGAGCCTGTGGAAATATGGCGACGTTATATCGTATTGGCGTAATTAAGCCCGGACAATCGCTAATTAGCGTTGAGTTTATCGTGTCCGTGTTTACCGTGTTCGGCCGAGTCCTATGACATAATCGTCGCCGTGCATCGCGGTAACGACAATGTCTCTGACTGCCTGGTGCGCGCCCGAGCGGACGCGCCCGCGCACACAGCCGAAATTACGCCGGCACTTGCGGCCGTATAACCGAGAGAAATTGTACGGTAAATATTTGCGCGCGTCATACGCGAAACAGCAGAGCGCCGCGAGTTAATTGGCTACTGTAGAGCGTTCAATAATAACTTAACATCGGCGCGATGCGACGCAACGCGACGATGGCGGCGCCGCCGCCGCCGTTGCGATGCCGATAATAAAACGCGAGTATTCTAAATCGAGTGACGATGCCAACTCGACCGGCAATCGACACGTAGAGTTCCATTTGGCGGCTATTTGGTCTCGCGATCGTCGGGACTAACTTAGAGCGCTGACGGCGAATTACAGCCGCGCTCTTCGAGCTACGGCTCGGTGTCCTGATTTCCTTCTGGAAGTTCATGCTGATTAGTTCGAAACGAACGATCATAGTCGACATTTCTCTCGATTGTAAGGTCCGCGATGTACTTTTGTAAATAGGACAACTTACATGTCCTTTCGGCGCGCAGGATGACCGTCGACTGTCGCGTAATTTAGTTTAAACGATGAAAAGGTATCGATTTATTTCAGTAAAATGTCGTCAAGCTTTTAACCCTTCACAGTCATATTTGCAACCCTCTCTGTCCCTATGCCAAGCTCACACCCCTCGGCAAGAAGTTACATGTGAAATGCTTACAGTGTCTCTTACAGCCTAATTACAAGTTTATCTTTTTTCTGTTTTCTGTTCTCTGTTCGCTTCTTATGTTATGGACCGACCTTGGTTTCTGGTTTCTCTGTACAGGTTTTCAAGGTAATTTATTTAATTTAGTTAATTTAGTTAATAATATTTTCGCGACATGTAGTATCTGGGTCAGGTCAGCTTTGAATTACCTCACAACTTTGTGAAAAATCGATATTCTTGATTTTTTTCCAAAAACATGGAAAAGGGTTGAACTCTATTGCGACTAATCCAAAGCTCCTCAAACGTTTCTTACAGCCTAATTAAAAGTTTATCTTTTTTCTGTTTTCTGTTTTCTGTTCGCTTTTTATGTTATGGACCGACCTTGATTTTTAGGTTTCTCTGTGCAGGTTTTCAAGGTAATTTATTTAATTTAGTTAATTTAGTTAATAATATTTTCGCGACACGTAGTATCTGGGTCAGGTCAGCTTTGAATTACCTCACAACTTTGTGAAAAATCGATATTCTTGATTTTTCTCCAAAAACATGGAAAAGGGTTAAACTCTATTGCGACTAATCCAAGGCTCCTCAAATGTTTCTTACACCCTAATTAAAAATTTATCTTTTTTCTGTTTTCTGTTCACTGTTCGCTTTTTATGTTATGAACCGACCTTGGTTTTCGGTTTCTCTGTGCAGGTTTTCAAGGTAATTTATTTAATTTAGTTAATTTAGTTAATAATATTTTCGCGACATGTAGTATCTGGGTCAGGTCAGCTTTGAACTACCTCACAATTTTGTGAAAAATCGATATTCTTGGTTTTTCTCCAAGAACATGGAAAAGGATTAAACTCTATCGCGGCTGATCCAAAGCTCCTCGAACGCGTTTCGCGACATTTTGGTCATCCTGTAGCGCGAATTCTTCCAGCACTCGATCAGCACACAGTCTGGATCCATCGAAATCTACAGAAAAACACAACGACTCTATTCTTCACCCCTTTGCCCCTCCCCGCGCCGCTGCAACCCTCTCTGCCCCTATGCCAAGCTCACACCCCTCGGCAGGAAGTTACATGCGAAATGCTTACAGTGTCTCTTACAGCGAACAACCTAATTACAAGTTTATCTTTTTTCTGTTTTCTGTTCGCTTCTTATGTTATGGACCGACCCTGGTTTCCGGTTTCTCTGTGCAGTCCTTCAAGGTAATTCGCCACCGCCTTTTTCTCTAGACTATCTGTCTCTCTTTCATCTATCTATCTACTTCCGCTTCGATCTCTCTGTCTGTATCTCTTCTCGCTCACCATCACCACCACTATCATCACCATCACCACCACCACCACCATACGCTCCGAGATACGTTCATTTCACAAAGTCCACCGTCGTGTGTGTGTCGCACACACATCACCTAGGTCGCTTGTATTAAACGTGCAGAATGTCTGACGAGAGGGATCGGTATATTTAATTAGATTGGAAATTTGATTTTCTTTTCGTCTCTTCTTGCTCCGGTAACCGCGCGTCATTCGTATATCTCGTGCATTCGTTATTCATTCCGCGGGTAATTTGAATTTTCCCCGAGGAAAAATCGGCCTTGAAATCTCACGCGAAGAGAGAAGGAGAAGAAAACCCATGTTATATATTGGTTATATCCCGCACTCACGAAGACATTCTGCATGTTGATTAATTGAAAGTGAATAATGGTAATGAGCGAGCAAGAGGAAGTTCGAATCGTATATGTCGCGATATTATTATTCACTTTTTTCCCCACACCCCGTGTCACAAGTACACTAACCCTACATCACGTTATATCACATCACGTCGTTCGCACCTACACGTATACACGCACGTGCGCGCACGCGCACACACATACGCACACACATAGAAACACATACAAATCCATACGCTCACGATTCATCAGTCAAATCTCTCTCGCTCCTCGTTCGCTCTATTACATTCTACTATTACTTCCAGCTTCTCTCTCTTTCTCTTCTGTCACCTTTCGCTGTCTGTCTCTTTTATCATCTTTCTGTTTCCCTCCTCCCCTTCCCTCTCTCTGTCTCTCTTTCTCTCTTCACTGGCACTTCATGTATCTTTGATGATTTCGTCGTTTTACTTCATGTGCCTCTTTTCGTGCGCCGCCACATCTTTTCGTTCATCGTCGTTACCTTCGCCGTACGCGCCGGTGTCCGACTTTATCGGCGCGTAAAGCGTCTCGCAGATCGATGTAACCAGAGAGTCGCCTCTCTCGCAAGCGTATCCTCGTGCGAGAACGCGCTTTCGCGCCTGATAACCATCCCCGAGCAAAGACGACGCCAAACTTTGGCACGCGCGTTGGAAAGGAGGAGCGTTTTCGCGTTACATCGATCCGCGCGGCGGCCGTGAACGCGGACACCGGGGCGCATTACACGACATCGCGCCAAGCTATGCAAACTATGAACCACCGTGAGAGCTTAATATGCGCCTTTTCCGCGTCCATCACACGCCGAGCAGAGTAGAGCAGCACGAGCAGCAGAGCGCGCGAGCAAAGAGCCGGGAGAAGCGCGCGCGGGCGTGTATGCGCCTCACGCGCGCGGAAGACGAGCGAGCGACACCGAAAAAAAGGTGGAAAAAGGAGAGAGAAAAAAAAGAGGGGAAAAAAAGGAGGAAAAAAAGCGTAAAGCTCGCACACGCGCGCACGTGTGTACACGCACGCATCCTCGCGCGCGCTTTCGCGAGCGTAGAGCGGCGACTGACTTTGCATTTTGTAGTCGGTGTTTTTTATGCGTCCTATTGCCTCTCTCTTTCAGCGCTCTCCTCTCCTCTCGGCCCGCTCCTCCACACCTTGTCTGTTGCTCTTTCTCTCTCTCTCTCTCTCTCTCTCTCTCTATCTTTCTCTTTATCTCTCCCTCTCTCTCTTTCCTCACGCTTGACGCGCCCGGCAAAATTCAGTGCATTTTTTCTCTCCCTCCTTTTTTCGCGCTGCCACCGCCGTCGCGGCGCGATTTTTGAGGCCCTTTCTCCTCGCCAGCCCACCACTACACTCCCGTCACTATTTACGATGCAAATCAAAAGCGGGTCCTCTGCTCTCGTCCTCCTGTAACCCCCCTCCTCTCCTCCGCACTCTTCTCGCAGTCGCTTTTTACGGCACGAGTTCGCGCGTCCGACGATTGTGACGAATTCCGTCTGAAAATCGGGTACGTTGAACCCACGGCTCCTAAGGGCGTTCTCCTGGCCAGGCTCCTCCGTATATGGAAGGGAGTTGTCGCGGGATAATTTAGCCAAAGTGCGCGTAAGATCTCATCCTCGGAGTGGAAGTCTTTTTGAGGGAACTTCGGTAATATTTAAACGTGTCTCTCTCTGAATCTCTTCGGGGCCCTTTGATTTCTTCGTTTAAAAAAAAAATTGGAGAAAAGGTCGGGACGCGAATTTGTCGTGAATTGCGTTTCTAATATCCGAAAATAATATCCGTATATGGAGCAAATTCTATTATCGTACATGCCACTTGCGGGTCAAATAAATGTTTCGTAATCTTACACACATTGTCAAACCGTTCTGGAATATTATTGATGAATATTTCGGCTCTACTTGTCGACTCGACGAGCGGATAAAGTCACGAAAGATGATCAAAAGGAAAAAGATATTTATGTTTCGAAATGATCAGTTCTGAACGTTTAACACAAATATCAGGAGAAAAATCGATATTTGAGGCGATAGAGATGTCATCGTGATAAAGTTTCCTGAAATAATCCGCAGGAGATTAAGTTATTTTATCAAGTGTGTGTCTGATTTGAAATCGAATCGGGCAATTTCTCGCAGCTCCAAAATTACCGAGCTATTTTTCTTTCCTTTTATTATATCGTGCATTTGTAATACTTTAGAATATTTTTTTGTTTTTCGTCCAGTCGTTGGACGCTCGCGGATAAAATCGCGAAGTGATCGCGACGGGGCGACGGAGGAAGAGACATTTATGTTCTATCACGCCGAATATTCGTCACGTATATCGCGTATTTCTGCTTACGGACAATTTATCGCCGGTGAATTTTTCCGCATGTTCGCCCCGCAAGGACGGCGGCGCGCTGCAATTTGGCCGGCGAGCCAAGAATCGAGTTTGGCCGAGTTCGCGGCGTGCCAAGCTGAAATTACGCGCGCGCGCGCGGCCATTGCTCAATCGTGACTCTTTTACGTGCACTTTGACGGACGAATAACCCGACTTAACGCTCGAGCGTCGGTCACTCGCGTGCGGGCTTCAGAACTCGCGAGTGAAATGCGGGAGTAACGAGGCGCGCGGCGCGATTTGCGACGCGGCGCCTCCCTTCTAACGATCCGCAATCGGGACGCGCGTTTTCGCGTGTGCGTTTCTGTGTGCGCGTGCGTATTACAAATTCACGACAAACCGGGCGCGATTCTCTCGAAAAAGTACCGAACGCGCGCCGCCGCGAAACGTGAACGTCACTATTAATGAGGCCCGGCGCGCCAATTAGAGATGGGAACGGGACAATTAAATTTTATTTTGCGATTAATTGCCAACGGGAGAGGCCTGTTTCAACAGAACATTTTGATCTGTCGCTTAATTATTGATGCGCTCAATATCGAAAGTCAAACAACCGCGAATAAAGCCCCTCACTCCCTCACTCGATTAAATCAACGTCGCGTGCGCGGAGAGGGGCGGGGGAGGGTTAAGAGTGACGTCGATGATTCCGCGTTCACCGAAATATTTCGCGATCGAGTGGGTGAAAGTGCGCAAAAAGCGACGTCATTTGCCTCCCGCGCTATCCGGCGCGCGTTTTCGCAACGAGTCGCCCAAGTCCCGCGAATGAGAACGTCGCGGAAAATATCCGACGCTGTTGACACTTGATTTCTCGAAAGAGCATTTTATTTGCACGACACACACCTTGCCCGGCCTCTCTCCCACCTGCCCCTCCACCCCGACAACAGCGGTTCTCGCGGACATCGAGCGTTATCGATCGCGATGCCCGCGGACAATCACCTCGAAATTACGCCAAACCCATCCCGCGCCCACCCTCGCCTTCCCTCCGAACGATCCTCCATTCGGAGAAAATCGCGTCTTTGCACCCCGCTCTTGCACCATTGCGAAACGCATGGAAGGTAAAGATACTGGACGCATTCCCAATCCTGGACATTCGTTCTGGCCTTTAAATACGAATAACAAACATGGAACACATGTCTATATCCAATGTATGGGCGACCCATTAGACGCCGCAAACGCTTTGAAGCGCTTGAAGGAAAGCCATGATAGATCCATGATTGGTCTATACGCGCTTCAAAGCATTTGCAGCGTCTAATTGCATTCTACTAGTCGCATCGACGTGAGTAACTATTACCATCTTGAATATCTTTGCTATTTCAAACAAACGTAGGAAAATAATGCCTACAAAAGTCATCTAGTTTCGAAGGAGACATGACGCAGCGATTCTTTTATAAGTGCAGGTGTGTGTATTATTTCCAAATCACCTTGAATGTTTTAAATGAAATCGTATGATTCTTCGAACACAAATCAATTCTTCTGATCATTCTGCGTAGAAGAATACTAGAAATAGAAAGGTGAATACCTTCTGAGATATTTGTTTTATTTTATTCTGATATTCTTTCAGTACAAGAATGTGAAATATCTCGTAAGGTATAAATGTTCAGAGGAACTGTCTTGTGTTAGATATTTAAGGTGATCTCAAAGTCCCTTACTTTTCACAGAAGAAAGAATCATTGTCAGTATTACAAAACTTTTTCAGGTGTTATTTTCTTATATTATGAAGTAACAAAGGTATGATCAGTTATTGTCTCATCTTGCGTTATTTTATACATAGAATAATTTTACGTAAGGTTTAATTATTCGTATTTTAGGACCAACCGAAACGCCCAGGATTAAGTACGTGTCCGGGCATTAATACTCTCACTTTTACGAAACGCACGACGACGCGAGTCTCGCACGTGCCCAGCGAGACTTGCGACTTAGTTTCGTCGCATAGACACGAGCATGCCTTTGTGATTGACGTGTATGTGTGTATGCGGCTCTGTTAATGAGGATGTAGTCTCTGGACTCACACACGAGCGTACACGTGCGCTTGCACACCCACCCATACACACACACCACACGTAAATATACTACACACACGAACGCGAACACCTGCATGTTCAGCAGTTTTCGTGTTGTCCATAGAAAACTGTAGAGAAGAAATCCGTATCACGCATAACCGCAGAAACCGGGCCC